GAAAGAGTGGCTGAAAAAATGGGCAAAAAGAACTAATCTGTCAGCCCATCACCTCAGCTGGCAGGAGGAGGGTGGAAAGCAGGGTCGTCCACGTGTTCAGCCCTGTCCCAGTGGTAACAGCTCCAGTGGACGCTGCTCCCGATGTGAGGAGGGCCAGGTCAGGGCTGTCGGGTCAGGGACAGACACCCCCAGCTGACCAGGGACCCAGGGCACAGCCTGCGTGGGGAGGGACTGCCCCAGCGCCCACCCATCAGCCCAGGTGCTGCGGTCAAGCTGACTCAGGCGCCGGGACCCCATCACGTCGCAACGACGCCAAAACGTGAGCTGCCAGGGCATGAAGCCGAGCCGGACACCCTGTCGCCCGCCCCTCACCGACCTCCCCCCCCCGCCCGCCTCGAGACTCCCCTCCAGCTGGACCCGCAAACTGGGCCTCCGTCCTGGCTTTGCGTCACGTTCCCAGGTCTCCCCTCGCACCTGGGGGGGTCGCCCCATGCAGCCCCTTGGGTGGAATTCGGGATGTAAGTCTTCCGTTAGGGGAAAGGGTGATAGGGGCACGGAGGGCAACCTGTCAACCTTGCTGACCTTCCTGCCCCCGCCCGAAGTGGTGCAGAGGTCCCTGCCCGCCAGGACGGAGAGGGTCACCGGGCAGCCCCCCAATGCTGCCTCGCTCTCCCCACCCCCAGGGTCCCCGGAAAAGCAGCAGGGACCAGTCCTCACAGGGCCCCTGCACTCGACAGGGGACAGTGGTCCTACTGTGACCTGGGCCACAAAGCAGCCAGGGGCAGGAGGGGCACAGGGAGCTGGCGGACGCCCCTCACGAGGGCTCGACCGCGGCCACGGCCCCTCCCCAGCCCCGTGGCTTCTTTTAGCCCAAACATCTGCCTTTGAAAACCCTGCAAACACCTAAGACACCTAGTGTGGTTCTAAATTCAGAAGGTCGCGTGGACTCAGCACACACCCCAGCTCCCACCTGGGAAACCACGGGGCAGCCTGGCTTCTCAGACACGCCCACTGGGGGCACCTGGGGGAACCCATGCCACGAGCAACACCTGCAGATCTACCCTCAGCAGATGCCCATCACGGGCCCACCCAGACCACCCAGTCCCCGCCTCGCGGGGACAACACGGCGGAAAGACGATGGTTAGGGCACAGTTTGGGGACTGAAGCATTCCTGTGAGACAACGTGCGGGCCTCCTGCCTGGGTGCCTGCTTGGGATTTGACACTGCTGTGGCCTTCTTACTTTGGCGAATTTGCACCTTGGAATTGAAATTTTTCAAATGTAATTTTCATCAGGTAAAGCCTCTTGTTTTTCAAAGCAACTTCTCAGGGCTTCCTGGGCGAGCCTTCCAAATGGTGTAACTACTCTAACGGTGTTCACTCTAACTTAATTACCTAATACTCGTAAAGATGGAGCTGTGATGTGTAACTGCAACGCACGGCAGCAAAGCGCCTCACGGCGGCACATCACGTACTGGCTTCTCAGGAAAGGTACGAGGCGCCTCCCACAGCCTCCCTTCTCCCCCCTCTCCCCACACATCCCCAACCATCAAAAGCCACCGTCGTCCTTCCCCCAGGATGCCGGGAGTGACGCTCTGGGAGGGCCAGTGGGGTTAGGGTCAGGCCTAGAGGCAAGGAGGAATCCTCCAGGTGAAAGCCCGGCCCAGTTCAGAGCGGCAGCGGGCCCTGCAGGCAAAGGCCCTGGGGGTCGAGGTCGTCGCGGTCGCTGCCTCCAGGACCGGGCTGAGCTGGGAGCGGGGCTGCTCAGGACCTGCGCCCCTGCCCCAGAGGTGCGGCCCACCACCTGCTGCGGGCCCCCAAAGCAGAGGGAGCGGGTGAGACAGAGGTGAGCCGAGTGAACAGAGAAACTTTCCTACTGGAGGAGAAAAATAAACGCCAAACCTTCCAATTCTCGGAAGAG